ATTATAGAAATTTTTGATATATTTATAATGTATTTTATTAGAAAATTTTTATTTATATAAAATTTTAAATTAAATTTTCATTAAATTAAAAAAATCTGACATACAATATTAAGATTTTTTTAAAAATTAAAATCATCATAAATTAGTGAGTATATCTTTTAAATAAAAAATTGTAATTAAAGTTTGATTAATTAGTTGAGGGGGAGAAAAAGAAAACGAAAAAGAAGACGAAAAAGAAGAGTATATGCCAAAAAGAGTGTGCAATCAAGAAAAATGATGGTATTATTGGGATAATTTTTTTGTTTTATTTTTTTATACAATTTTCATATGTCATTAAATGAGTAAATGTATTTAATATCATGTATCTTTAATGAATTAAAAAAATTAATTATTTTAATAACACATCAAGTTGTACAAAAAAGTGAGACAAAATAATTATTCCAATAGCATTTCTCAAAAAAAAAAGAAATGTAAATTAAATTTAACGTAAGGACGGTAAGAAATGGTAAGCTGAAATTAATGAATAGGGTAAAAAAATGTAAAGCAAAAGGGTAAATTTATCAAATAAAAAAAATTATTGAGACATGGTAACAAAAAAAATATTAAGATAGATTTATAAAATTAATATACAATATGAATTTTTTTTTATATATATTTCTCTCTCAATAATATATATAAATTTTCTTTTTACCTCCTCGGTTTCAGTTGCGAAGATCTCGGCTAATTTCAAGGGAATATAATTTTCTTCTTCTTTTGGTTTTACTTATAAGTTATAAAAATATTTTCTGAAATTCAAACTGTATGATTTAAATTATTAATCTCAAAATTATATAATAGAGACTTGAAAATTATATAATAGAGATGACGGTTTGTTAGTTTTAGTGAATAAAGTTTAAATTTTTTAAATAAAATTTTGAGTTTAAGTAAAAAAACTAACGTTAAAAGAATTTCTTTTACCGAGGTTTAATGCGATTTTAAATCTAATATAATTATAAAATAAATATAAAAGGGTAATAAAAAAAATAAAAAAACAACATAGTTGGCACGTGTCAAGGATTCTTCCCCGTTCCCAGACGCCTTAACCATAAGTTAAGCCCCTGAACTAACCCCAGAATCGCTATTAAACCCCTAGACTTTAATTGATGCAGTTAAGCCATTGAGCTCTGGGATCAAAGCAATTAAGCCCTTCTTCTTAAGCAATTTATTTTAAAAATTAAAGTCTAGGGGCTTAATAGCGTAAGAAGAAGGGCTTAGTTGCTTTGATCCCAGAGTTCAAGGGCTTAACTGCATCAATTAAAGTCTAAGGGCTTAATAGCGATTCTTGGACTAGTTCAGGGGCTTAACTTATGGTTTTGCCTTAATTAAAACCCCAAGCCGCAGTGGACCTGTTCCTGAGTAAGAGGCCGCTTCTAAGTTCTAACCAATCCAGGGTTTAAGCTTCAGCAGACGAGATAGAAATCAGAGGGCAGCCATGTTTCCAGGACTTGTTATACGCAAGCCAGACAAGGCCGCCGCCTTGAAGCAGCTAAGGGTTCACGCTGCCCTATTTGGGGCCTGGGTCGCCGCGGTTCGCATTACCCCTTACGTTCTTCACTATTTCTTCGATGAGAGTGAAGAGCTCAAGCTCGAATTGTAGATCCCTCTTCTTCCCCTCTCATTCTTTGCAGGTAACTTTACTAGAAAAAAAAAAAGGAGTTTCCTTTACCGTTTCCCTTCCATTCTCTTAAATGGGTGTTTATTTGCTATGTGATTTCTCTAGTTGGTGATTACTCTATGCCAAAACAGCAGAATTGCTTAATTGAGTGTATTTTTCTATGACCAGTATGGCTGATATTCAAATATGTTTGAGGTCTCAAGGAAAAGTAAATTGCTTTTTCTTAGAACGGAATGCTGCTTGATGGAATTGAGAGGGGGGTTACCTGTAGGGGTGTATGTACTCCCACCTTTTTTTTTTAGTGAAAAATTTGGTGCCTGATTTGAAAGGAATTTAATTTTTATTGAAGCTGTGATAATTTGGCTGAAACGTCAAAGTTTTAAACTTACAAATCCAGCCTCTAACATTGTTTATTTGGCTGTTGGCAACAGCTTACGACAGCATTTAAAAGACCACGGTAGGATAATGAGATTTTGTGTACTTTGATGCACAATCAACATGTGGTGAATGTGGATATATTTGAGGATCTACATGGAGGTTGGAGAAATCAGTTTCTATATATATTTTGATGCCAATTTGAAAAGTATTCAGCAATTTTGGTGAATGTGGATATATTTGCTGCACTTTTTATCCCGTATTAGAACTTCATTGTGGCTATAAAATATTGACTCAGAAAAATGAATTGGATTTATGATCTCTTTTATTACTGTTTCATAGTCTCCTACTTATCATTGCAACAATATCCTTTCAGTGTAGAAGTGATAGTATTGGAGTGTACTCAGAGTTGTCTCCATTGGGGAGGAGTTGCTTTAAATCATACTGTTTTTTAACCTTCATTTAGTAAATTCCTAGTAGTCTCTTTCCCCACTATTTCATTTATGTGTTTGTAGTTTACTTTTTTTTTGTTTTGATTGTCCATTTTTTCTCATTTCGCTTTGTAATGCCTTATGCTTTGTTCCTGTTTTTTCCGAAGTTATTTTGAGCCAGTTTAAGTTACCCATTATTCATTTATGTAATGCAGTTGCTTTGCGAGGCGAAGATGAGGCCTTGGATGGTGAAGAGAGTTAGCAGAGTTTATTGTCCCCCTTTCAGCCCTGCTCAAATGCGAGGCCAGGGTGTTGTCAAATTAGTTAGTCTCTTTCTGGCCTTTTGCTTTGATAATTTTTCATGTCGATTGAGGCTATACATTTTTTAAAAGGATGCTTAATATTATGCATTGATATTGTAATGTTCCCATAATAATAGTAGGCCCCTTTTAGCCAGTGCTAAAGTAGGTGGCAAATCCTTGACCCCTTCTTTTGAAAGCACTGGCTGGCCACCTTACTCTTCTCATTTTCACATTACTTTTTGACAATTCTTTGATTTGATGGCTTCAATAGATTAGTGAATTGCAAGTGTTTCTTTAGGCTTGGGGTCCCATCCCCACATTGCTCCCATTTTCCCACCAGCCAAACAGCAAAATTCTCTGTATCTTTCCAATAAACCAGGGCTTTTTAGTTTTTTACACCTGTCTATGTCTTAGTCTTTGCTGTTCACGAAAAAGATTAAAGATAAAAGAATGTGAATTCATATTGAAATAAAGAATTATTAAGAATGTGAATTCATATTGAAATAAAGAATTATTATCCAAATAATAAAATAGAAAAACGACGATTATATATAATTGGGCCGTCGGATCTAAATAATTTGTTTGATTGCTTCAGCAAACTCTCCTTTTCAGTTTTTGCACTCAGATCGTGCTATCCAGAACAGAACAGAACAGAACAGAACAACACCAAAGAAAGTACAAGTGTCAAAGACCAACATAAAATTTACTGTTTTGCTACTGAAACCTTTTTGTTTTTTCTCCCTCTGGTTATCCAATTTATAGTCTCATTGATTTCGCAGAAGACAATAAAGATTTGTAACTGATCATCGCTCTTCTGGAGTCTGAATTAGAGGAATAATTTGGCGACAAGAAGAAGCAGCTCCCAGGCAACAAAGCCATGGATGAGGAGGTCCCAGGCTCTCTAGGCACCACCTCTGGATTGTCCTTGAGATTGTTGCAGATGATCTCTTCCTTCACGTCTCTTCTCTTCATGTCTTTGGGTGTTGAGTTCTACAGCTACACTGCTTTTTGGTACATCTTTCGTTGCCCTTGTTTTCCTTCCTTGATGTGATTTGAAAAATTCGTTCCGCATATATGATAATAAATTTTCCATTTAACTCTAGGATTTCTAGTCTTCTGTCCTTTACCACAACTAATGTTACTGCTTCAAGGAAATCATAGTTTTATCAGCATCGTTTCATCCTCTGGCATTTTGAAAAGTTCTTCCTTTACTTCTGTTTTATATTTCAGCTTCTTGGTAACGATCATGGGCTTGGTTATTCCATGGAGTTTCACTCTGGCACTGGTAGATGGTTACTCTGTTCTCATCAAATGCCCTGTTCGTCAACGTGCAATATTGCTGATAATTGTTACAGGAGATTGGGTATATCTCTATAAATTCATCAATTCATTTCAGGCTAGATGAAACACATGTTGGGTTTATTTATCAGGTTCATAATATAAAATGGCAGGTTCTATCAGTTCTCGCGCTGGCTGCAGCATCCTCAGCAGCTAGTGTTGTGGATTTCCTCCGCTCAGACCAGCCCTCTTGCCTTCCCAAGTTTTGCAGTAGATATCTACTTTCTGCAGCCATGGCTTTTTTGACTTGGTTTCTGTCTCTAATCTCAGCTCTTTTCAATATCTGGTTACTTCCCTCTTTATGAGTCCCATTTGCATAAAAAAGGCACACAAAACTATGCTCTTTTTTTTTTTTCTGACAAAATTATGCTTGATTCAAGAACTTGTCATTAGCATTCAAGTATTGAGTTTCTAACATTTCATTTCTCAAGAGTGCTATCATTTCATCATTTCCTTGTCTCATATATCCATCAATTAGAGCACCATAAGTCTCCATAGTTGGTTTAAACCCCTTTGCTACCATCTAAAGCTTGAACCTTTAAGACTTCTTCAATTCTTTCCTCCCCACAAACCCTTTGTCAAGAACTAATAACTCTTATCTGTTGGAGAAACATCATGTTTCCTCACTGCTATAAGTGGCACAAGTACCCTACTTAATCCCAGAGTCATATCACACCTCAATTGTTGAAGCCCCTGGCTTATATCCTTCCCTAAACATAAATGGCACAAGTCTCCATGGTTGGTTAACTCTTGCTATCCCTTTCCCATTTCTTCCTATCTCACTATCATGACTCCAAAACCACCCGCAAAACCCCATATCCCTCTTTCTTTCCTCCATCCCTTGAAACCTCCCAGATCAAAGCACTACATGTACTAACTTGTGGGCTAATACCTCCAGACCTCAACAATCTAACAATCTCAATAATCATCAATCTTTTTCACTTCCAAACAAGATTTTACTAACAACCCCAACACTAATAGAGCAGAGCCACGACCGGGAAGGTAGAGAAAATATTTGTTTTACATAAATACAAATTTGTAGCATTGAAGAAAGAAAATTCATGTACATTCTCTGCACTGTTGACTGGGAAGGTATAAGATTCCTCGACAAACACTCCCAGTTTGTCAAATGTCAACAAATAACTATGGAGTCTTATATAAGATAAGAATTAGTACAACACTTTAATAATGGTAAATTCACGAGTCATATTCATGCTTTTCGGTGGCTAGAACAAAGTATGTCAAGGTAATCTTCTCTTGAGCAATCTATTTATGAATCTAGCCTTCATGCTGCTTTACACTGAGTTCTAGGGGCAGTTTTGCCTTAGCATTAAACTAATATATAATTCTCGATTAATTAGCCGAGAATCAATTCCATGGATGTAATATGACTATATACCATGTCAGTTTGATACAGATGCCAATTTACAGAGAAATTCTGGGCACTCATGTTGGAACATTTTTTATTTGCAATCATTCAAAATGGATAATATTTTAAATTTAGGAGATATGTATGAATACCCTATGAAGAACTCAGAGATCAGGAAAATACTTCTTATATAGGAATTTGTTCTCCTCTGCTCAAGGGAAATTATGCTTGATCATCAATCATCATCTTCCCTCTTGATGAATTCAAACACATAAGATGAACATAGGCTCTCTTTTGATTTGATTCCTCACGGCATGGTTTGGGAGAAAGTTTCTGCCACGGCACGATACCGGCTAATGCTTTCCCGGCTATGAATTTATGTTAGCCTTTGTAATACCTCCTAATTATTCAATCCATATCTTTGCATTAGCTTCTCAATCACCAGATGCTAAAATTCTTATTCTCTAATGCATGGAATTCCTATGAATGATTCTTTCATATAAATGCTATACATAATCCCTTTATTTTCATTTACCAAATACGCCCTTCAAAGCAAAAAATTCGAATTCTTGTGTGGGACATTACTCACATCAACCAATATGCCATATGTTTGCACTTTGCCATCAAGATATATTTATATGAGACTGGATTCCTATGAAAAATCAATTACCACACCATTACCACTATCTTTAAGCATAATTCCCCTACTTAGCTTCCACCTCAAGCTATATCACCAGATAACCCTAATTAGAGACCTTTTCTTTTGGCCTAGCGTCCCTGACTATATATACATCGCCACTTGGGTCGTTTCTTTAGAAGCCAAAAATCGAAACCATGAAATACAACGAGATATCCCATTTCAGCCACCCCCAACACAAGCTGAAATTTGAGTACTCTGAGGTGCCTTTCAAGTGTGACGGTTGCAAGGAGGTTGGTATAGGCTCGCGCTACAAATGCTCTGCCTCCTGCGACTTTGACCTCCACATGCACTGTGCCTTACCTTCTACCACCATCTCTCACCCATTCTATACCAAATGCTCATTCCAGTTCCTATCCAGCCCACCTGGTAACGTGCCTAGGTACTGCAACGCCTGTGAGAAGGATGTCAATGGCTTCGTCTACCACTGCAACTCCTGCGGGTTTGATCTTCACCCCTGCTGCGCCAAGCTACCTATGGTGCTTAATGACGGAGAAGTGAAGCTGTTCCTCTATAGGAAGGTAAGTAGGGAATTTTCATTATATAAATGTGCAACATGACAATAAGATCATGGAGAGTAACACTGTTGAATAATATCATGCCAAGTGTTAAATTATTACTGACTTATTGCATACCATATGAGATAGAATTAAGGGAATAGTGGAGTCAAATTTCATAATTTTTCTAGTAATTTAGTAAATTTGAAAGTATTTCACTTTTGTCCCATAGATGGCTTCCTTGTAAATTTTTTTCTTTATTT